CCCCCAAGTCCTGTCTCTCTTCCCTCGGGCAGAACATCAGCTTTCCAAGCCAGAGGTGGTGTCTCGGCTAGAGGAGGAGGAAGAGCACTGGTCGCTGGAGAGAGGAATTCCTCAAGACACCTTTCCAGGTGAGTGCCAGGCCGTGGGATCCTGGCAGGGGGCGGGCGGACTGGACAGAGGGAACCCGGTGGGGTGCTGGGGTGAGTGTCTGCCTTTCCCTCGGGCCTTGGTCAGGGTGTGCTGAGCGTGAACTATTCATTGTCAACTGCTCTCCCCTCGTGTAGCCGCCACTAAATGGTGTGTGTCCCTGGCCAGGCTTTTTATTAACCCTCACTGGGGGATATTCTTTCCGTTACTTTTTATTTTATTTATTTATTTATCTTAAATATATTTTATTGATTTGTTACAGAGAGGAAGGGAGAGAGAGAGAGAGCTAGAAACATCGATGAGAGAGAAACATCGACCAGCTGCCTCTTGCACACCCCCTACTGGGGATGTGCCCGTAACTCAGGTACATGCCCTTGACCGGATTCGAACCTGGGACCCTTCAGTCCGCAGACTGACGCTCTAGCCACTGAGCCAAACCGGTTTCGGCTCTTTCCGTTACTTCTTAGAAAAAGAGGGAGGGAGACATCAACTGGTTGCCTCCCACATACGCTCTTTCCAGGGGTGGGGAGTGAACTGCCACTCAGGTACGTGCCTTTCACCAGGAATTGAACCCCCATGACAGTCTAATCTGGTGGACGCCCGCCTTTCGGACATCAGGGACCACCAGTGGTCCGAGGACCAGCGGTTGGTGACCGCCGCTCCCATCACTGAACCACTCCCGCCTTTTTTATGTTTACATAGATGTATGTGAATACTGTCCCCTACTGAATGATAGTGTGAGACAAGTGTTTGACTTTATGGTGGCACTCTCGGGACAGAATTCAACAATTTATATATATCAAGCAGGCTTTGTGGTGGAACAGGAATGAGGAACCCTTTTTCTGCCAAGGGCCATTTGGATAATTATAAATCATTCTTGTGCCATACAAAATTATCCGCTTAATACCTTGGTATCTCTTCAGATCGCATAAATCTTTCGCCTTTTACAAAATTATCCGCTTAAAAACTAGCCTACTAGCCGAAACCGGTTTGGCTCAGTGGATAGAACGTCGGCCTTCGGACTGAAGGGTCCTGGGTTTGATTCCGGTCGGGGGCATGTACCTTGGTTACGGGCATACCCCCAGTGGGGGGGTGTGCAAGAGGCAGCTGATCGATGACTCTCTCTCATCGATGTTTCTAGCTCTCTATCTCTCTCCCTTCCTCTCTGTACAAAATCAATAAAATATATATTTTTAAAAACACCAAAAAAACCCCCAAAACTAGCCTGCTAAATTTGGTCAGATATTTAATTAGCTTAACCCTAATGCCTTGGCAGGGCCAGGCCAAAGGATAAGGCCCATAGGCCAGACATTCCCCACCCCTGTGTGAGATAATTTTGCCCCGCCGTGTGCTAATGTAAGTGTTCTGAGGATGTTTAAGGTATGCTGGGTTACCTGCGTTTTCAAGTTAAGCTATTTTCAACTTAGGGTGGGTTTATCGGAACACAACCCATCCCTAAGTTGAGGGACATCTGTATATGTTTATATTTTGGGGGTGTTCTTAATACAGGGCTGCTTCATTTTAAAAGATGCAGTATAGTCCATATTTAATTTTATCTCTCATGGACATTCAAGTTGTTGCAAAAAAACTTTCTTGTATACATCTTACTTTTTGGCACATTCAAGTTGGTTTTTCTTGTGAGCAGGATTTATAGAAATGGAACTTGAGAATCTATTTCTCAATGTAAGCGGAAAGTCTGGTAGCAGCCAATCGCCGTCTGAAATCCTTTGAGCCCTGGCTGGTGCGCTCGGTGGTTAGAGTGTCGGACCATGCCCCAAAGGGTTGCAGGTTTGATTCCAGGTCCAGGGCACCTATCTGGCTACAGGTTTGATCCTCTTCCTGGGTTGGGGCACGTACAAGAGGCAGCCAATCAGCCGAAACCGGTTTGGCTCAGTGGATAGAGCACCGGCCTGCAGACTGAAAGGTCGATTCCGGTCAAGGGCGTGTATCTTGGTTGCGGGCATATCCCCAGTAAGGGGTGTCCAGGAGGCAGCTGGTCGATGTTTCTCTCCCATCGATGTTTCTAACTCTCTATCCCTCTTCCTCTCTGAAAAATATCAATAATATATATACATATATATGTGTGTGTGTGTGTGTGTGTGTGTGTGTGTGTGTGTGTGTATATATATATATATATTTATTTTTTTTCTTAAGAGGCAGCCAATCAAGGCAGGCAATCAACGTGTCTCTCTTACAATGATGTTTCTCCATCTCTCCCCTTTCCTTACACTTTCTCTAAAGCAGTGTTTCCCGAACTTCTGTCATGAGAATCACCTGGTGGAGTTGTTAAAATACAGATTCCTGAATCCCAACTAAGAAGTGCTAAACTAGAATTTTTGGGAACATATAGGTAAAGTTGTATACTTAACCTAGTGTTCTGTCTTAAAGTTCTGGTTTAGCACTTCTTAGTTGGGATTCAGGAAACTGCATTTTAACAACTCCACCAGGTGATTCTCATCGTGAGAGAAGTTTGGGAAGCACTACTCTAAAGAATCATTGGAAAAAATAGTGTCTGGTGAGGATTAAAAAAAAAAAAAAAAGTTTTAGGGTTGTTTATTTTTATTCCTGTTCTAGGCTCTGCATCATACACAGGCTGGTTGTACAAGTACGTTTTCGTTTCCTCGTTTCTGTGGTTTTTTTCTTAGCTGTTGTACTTGTCTGGCATTTCCTCCTGTGTATGGCATAGGGCACGTGTTCTCTCAGTGCCCATTTTCAGTCCAGGTTCTTCCACTTCCTGGAAACACCGTGTTTATCATCATGAACTAGGTCTTTTGTTCTCAGTCCTCACCTGAGGATATTTTCCCTCATTGATTTGATCCTGAGGGTCCAGACCTTCCTCACGTGCACTTCAGCCTGACCTAACAGTTTCCCGACTCCGGCTGCCACGGGGCTCAGGGTCAGGGCTTGTGCCAGCGCAGAGACCGAGTGCTGGAGGCTCCGCAGGCCTCAGGGGACAGTTCCTGGCTCTTCTGCCGCCAGAGTCCCTTCACCTCACAGCCCCGGGGGAGCCTCCTGTGTCCTGCACAGGGCACTAAACACTCTGGTGGTGAACCACAGGCCTGACTGGCTCCTGCCATGGTGGACTTTGCAGTCTGGGGTTTACGGCCTTCTCAGCCAAGTGGTGCGCCCTGAGGGATAGGCCTGGTGTAAAGGGAGCGTGGGGGCTATCCACAGGAGGTGGTTGGGGACACTGTGGGGTGAGATTTAAGCCGATTCCTGAGGGAGGGAGGGGAATTCTGCAGAATTTTAAGAGTGATAATGAAGAGCACTTCCAGGCATGGAGACAGAGTTTGGGGTGACTGGCATGAGATTGGAGCTTGGCATATTTGGAGAACAAAATGTCACCCAACTGAGGGCCGGGGGCAGGTAACGGCCACGTATTGACATGCCGTTGAGGTTCAGCAGGCGCACAGGGCCCGCTGAGCAGGTGGTTTGGTTTTCAGTGAGTGTAAGTGGCTTTCCACAGCTCGCTCTGCGGCTTGTGAAGAAAGAATGGCGGAAGGCAGCTGGAAGCCCTGGCTGAGGTAGCACCTGGGGCAGAGGTGATGGTACTTGGCCTGAGAGAGCAGTCATGGGGCTGGCGTGGTGCTTCTCCCCATCAGAGGCCAACCCAGTGGGCTGGGTGAGGGACTGACTAACGGGGCAAGGCAGGAGCCTGCCAGCAATTCCCCATAAGCAAAGGCATCCAGGACCTCCTGTGACGAGTCTTTGTTACGTGTGTGTTTACCACGTAAGTTCTTTTTGTATCTCATTATTGAAGTACAATAAAGAAGAACTTTTGGCATTATGCAGAGACACGGGGAAGTCTGAAAGAGTTACATGAATAGTTCAAAGAACTCCCTAGTAACTTTCACCTAGATACGAGGGTTTGGAATTGTCCTGAGTCTTGACTCATTCTGTTAAAGAGTTGTGAATGGGAGGGGACTTAGACGTTTGTGAGTTGAGTGCCCCTGTCTGACCCTCAGGAGGCCCGGGCAGTGTGTTAAAACATGGAAGTCATAGGTGTTTAGAATGGCTTGCTTTCCTGTTAGAGGAGACAGCCATCTCTTGTGGTGGTCACTTTCTCCCAACATTGCTGTAGCACAGCTATAAGGGAATGAGTGGAAACCAGGCCTTTCTGACGCAGCTAAGCTCACATGCCCCTCTGCCTCCCCATGATTGCAACAATGACAGCATCGGAACTGGTGGAAGTAGAAGGAAATGGTCAACACTTGAGACAGGGCATCCATCTTCACGTAGATGCTAATTTGGAAAGATGTTGTGAAGATAAGGAATGTGGTGAAATATTTTGTTGTTGTTTTGTTGTTGTTAATCCTCACCCAAAGATATGTTTCCATTGGTTTTTAGGGAGAGGGAAAAACAGAGAGAAACATTGGTGTGTGAGAAACACATCTATTGGTTGCCTCCTGAATGAGCCCTGACCAGGGCCCTCGTCAGGGAGGAGCCCGCAACCAAGGTACATGCCCTTGACCGGAATCTAACCCGGGACCCTTTGGTCTGCAGGCTGACGCTCTTATCCACTGATCAAAACTGGCTAGGGTGTATGTGGAGAAATATTTGACGGCACTCAGATCTTCAGCCATCGAACAGTGTTCTTTACAGAAGGTTTTGCCATACGTGTGGTTCGTGTAGAAAATTTGACACATAATCTAGATTTAACCTTTAGGAAAGCAATGGAGTGAAGACACTTTTTTGAAGGTCATGATTGTAGGAAAGCTTGCAGGGCATTTAACTTCTTTGGTTCGTCAAGAAATTAAGCAGGAAATGAGCCCTACACATATGAATGTGGCAACTCTCAAAGGAGTACTAGCATTAGTAGAAAAAAAAATTAGAATTTTGTTGGAAGAGAAGGAAATCCTTCTCTACACATGGGAGACAACCATTCAGAGACGAAATGGAGTTAATCCTCTTCATGACTTTTCAACATGATGACTCAAACAGATGCAATCTGAGGAACGTGACCATAGCAGGAAAGGCTTCT